GTTTTTATCGGCCAAGCGATAGGACGATTGTTTCCAAGCTTTTTCCGTTACAAATTTCCGATTCGAATGTAACAAACGTCGAATCTCTGGGTTCGCATACGTTTCCCTACGTGACACGCTTGTAAGTAAGCGTGGTAGATGCAAGTCAGCCAAGAAAAGCGTGCGAGGGAGCATTTCTGAAATTGCTTTGCTGGCATTTGCTACCGGCACCAGGCAATTCTTCTCTCGCGTATAAATCGCGATAAAATTCCGGTGAAAAACACGGTGAAAATTTCGAGAAACAGAAACACGGAAAGAAAACCGAAGGACTGGGGGGAACGAGTAAGCAACGGAACCCAGAAGGGGCAAGCAAAGAACTCTAAGGACCAACGGATATTACAAACATTTGGGATCGCGAACGTGACGTTTGCGGAATTCTTAGGAAACCATCGATAGGGATCGCGAAGAAATCGCGAGCAACGCGTGCAAAGGCGAAATCGTTTACGATAAATAAACGTTGAAACGTTCCGTCAAAGAAAAACGATGCGAGAAAAGGAACGAGAGGTGTCACTCGTTTGTTCTCGAGCTGCCGTTCGAGCTGGTTTACGACGTCAAAACGAAATCGCGACTGTTTGTCTGACCGAACAGACGGAAATTCCGTGTTATCTTATGACAAGGCAACTACCATTCAGCGTTTATCAAAGTAACGCGGTCACATTCGCGACTATTATTTATTTCGTCCTCGGCTTTCTCTTCCCGACTCGTACGCGTGTCGCTTTCGTACAGCCAGACGAATTGCGTCGTATTCGAGACGTGCAACCATTTTCATCGTTAAACGTTCCGTTGCATGGTATTTGTCGTTGCATATCATCATTCTCCATCGTCATCGGTCCACGTCCGTCCACGTGCGTTTAATCTTTGAATTGCAGCGGTTCTCTCGAGGCTTCTCCACGCCGCAAAGATGCATCGTCTTCCCCGAGAGGGAACTTTTTCATAGATAAAACTGGATTCTACGATACGCCTCGATGGGTTATCGCGAGCTACTCGCGACACGCGCGACGCGAGCTTTATCACGATTAACGTTCGTTTTTGTTATCCCGTCCACATGGGAATACGTAATACTACGTATCGTCGGCGTACGCACTGTATCACCGTGAAAGCTTCGCGACGAGCTAGCGATGGTTATAACCTTCGGAAATTCTGCAGGTCGCCCAACCCCGATGGAATTCCACGTGCTACGAACCCGCAGAAAGTTTCGCGATCGGCCCACCTATCCCTGCATCGTTCCGTTCGTTAACCAACTCCACTCTCTCGCGTCCAATTCACAATTTCTTCGCTCGACCGAAAAACTTTCCTTCCTAAGGTTAGTTCTCTCGTTGCCAGGGGAGAACGACCTGGTGTACTATTTTTATGCGAAAATATTAAAAGTGCATCGCACGATTCCACGATGCGACGAGACGAGAAGAGACGAGACGAGACGAGATGAGACTTAACGCAACGCCATGATTCGAGCAACGGATAACGCTCCACGGCGTACATTTTTACTCCCATCAGTCGGTTGTCGAGCAGACAGAGAATAAAGCGAAAGTCATTTATCTGCGAACTAAATTTTCTTTGCCGATGCAATATCGAATTCTTACGTTCCTCTCCTTTATCGGGGTATCCAATACGGGACCTTTTGGAACATTTCATCCGTGGAACAACTTCATTATTCACCCGCATTCTTCATCCGGAGTGTAATCAAAGAAATTCAGCAGCGGTAGAGGAACGACTATCCGGGCTAAAAGGCGTGTATTAAATGGGTCGATTAGGATTCGATTCGGCGTCCCTTTCTTTCAAACTTTTGCCGTTATGCTCGAAAGAGGAAGTCCTGGTTCATCGACACGAGGTTTGTTACCGACTAAGAAGTCGAAAAAAGAAAAGGCGATCTCTAATCCGTTTGCGTACCGGATTCGCATCTCTGTGAATAAGCATGCGAAACGAGCGCGGCGTTAATAACGTTTAAAACGGTAGACACAGAACGACGATCGATTAAACTAAAAGAGGATTAATCGCCATTGAATCGGCGACCTGATGCTACTTTCCATTCTAACGTTTGTTCTTCTGCCTGTCACACGATCGTGCAAAATCCAGAGGTTTTAATCAAACGTCAAGGGATACTCAATGGTCGCACAGTGGCATAAACTAACATACACGAACCTAACATCGATCGATGAGATTATATACACTCTGTTTCCGTAAGCGGGAGAAGCGATTCAGTGTATACGTTTAGAGAGTCAAATATAGACGTCGCCAATCACGATGATTTATAAGTGACAACGTAACTACCGATTGACACGGCTATTAATTTCTAGTCGCCTAATAAAAGGCAGATCTGCCGCGTGAAACCATGTAGCGTTATCAACGATATCCTATGTATCCACACACGCCAGTTCTCATCCCTGCACGATCTATCGCTAAATATGTTCGATCGAATTTACGAAATTTCGCGCCAATTCGTGTATCTAATCTCCACACGTCGAAAAATCGTGGAAGAAGCTGGTTCTGCGACGAGATCTCGACGTTCCTTCGAAATTACAAAATCCCACCGATACTTAACGTAATCGATTCGTGCATTGAAATGGCTGCTTCGCCGATTTCGAAGCTTCGAGAAAGCTCGTATTGCGTTTCCAGCGATGCTACACAGACGAGTCCGGCTCGTTTCGAGAAAGAAAGTTTAGAAAAGGTACACGAAGTATGCGATTTCCTTGCAAGTTGTTCCAGCTTGGCTACTCCGGCATCGAAGCGATGTTCAAAAACCGTGCGCTACACTCACTGAGACGATCAGGGAAATGTACTTTCGATAATGTACACGCATCCTGCAAATGTATACGACGAGTTGGAAAACTTTCGTCTGCCAGCTCTTTCGTCGGACAAAAGTTACCGCTGTCGTTTCAGAGGGTCATCGAATTTTTAGTCGTTCCGATACTCGCGACTAACGAACGCATTTTCATAATGGCCACACCTTCTGTGGGCGGTATAAAGACGCAGAGAAAGAAAGTTCGACGAGCGTGCAAATAAATCCTGGCTTCTCGCGCTGCTCCGTTTATCATTAAAAACAAAGCGACGAGTCGAAAAATCTATTCTACGACGATGCCCCTCGAGTTTCCCTCTAAGTTTATTATCGAGTAATAAAGCGTGCCACACGTAGATTAAACTTTCCAAACCGTTTTCCTCGCACGCGAAACCTATTACTTTAACGTAAAACGATTATTACTTTGAAAGCGTAGTTTCAGAAAAGCGGAGGGTCGCGTGGAGAATCGTGCAAAGGCGTTCAAAAATTTGTAACGAAATTACGATTTATTAACGAAGGCATACAGTCGAAATGTTAAATCGTTTAGAAGCATTTCCCCGATATATTTTTTCGCGATACATACTTTTTGGAGAATCCACTCGAAAATTGGTGCACGGTGGAATATCGGACATGCGTTTTCGCAAAATCTCGTTTTCAAATAAACTCGTTAATCGTTAAATATTTTCTGCGCGATGAGTAAAATTTTTATTTTCACTGGGTCCATTATGCCGATGCGCGTGAGTCTATATCTACGAAAATTGCGAGGAAAAAAGTAGGAATTGCGAAACGGGTGGAACGTCAAAAGAGAAAGACGTGGAATCGAATAGCGTGAGATTCCGAGGGCAATTCGTTCGGGTGTTAGGAACATTATCCTTAGGGAGCGAGGAGAATAATAAACGGGGCCAAAAACGGGGTCGCGATAGGCAGGTGTCGACAGATCACGGGCATAAGACGTTACGAGTTGGGAAAAATGTGGAGAAAGCCGGTATGCTCTCGATAAACCGCATCCACCCTGAAATTTCCGAATCTTAATTGCGAGAAATGGTGTGTAACGGCGTGAAATATTACCTAGAAAAAGATGCTGACTCTTATTACGGTCGGCCGAGGAGCGAATCGCTTAATCCGGTGACTTTTCTCTCCGCATCCCCGCACCTGCCGGAAAACGCTGACCCGTCATTTCCACTGGCAATCTGTTACGCGCGAATCCCACAGAAAGGAACACCTGAGAAGACTGAGAAAAAGGAGTATCTTCGCGCGGACTGTTTTTTCGTTTTCGTTTGCATTCGCTCATCCCAAAACCGTCGCGCTTTTTCGTCGTCTAAGTGCTTTTCTTCCAACTAACTGCTTACGTAAGTGCGTAAGCCGTCGTATTAACTCGTCGATCGAGGCACCGAGTACGCGTATATGAAAGACGTAACTGCACCGCGATTGAAAATTTCGCAATCGTTCGCGGTGATCGATATGAACGTTCTTGTCGAAGTTAATCACCTTTGATCGTAAACGGCGGGAACGTCTGACGCGAGAATCACGTTTCGTACAGCTTCGTCCGAATTAAGGACCGCGACCTCGTTAACGTGGAACGAACAGCGTCTTAATTTTAACCACGGACAATGATCAAACGTCGAACGTGGTCGCCTTGTACACTCTTTGGCTTCATCTTCCTCCTCCTAATCTTGTTCGGTAGTTCGCGATAAAACTTTCTCGATCGCAACACGATGTCTTCTTCTCCGATCACGGAGTTAAATGTTTATCACGCGATTCATTCAACGCGACGAGTCTCCGCTTCACGATACAACGAAGCGATGGATAGTCGGATCTTGGAGAAGAAGAAAGAAGAAAAGAGAAGAACGGTGGCGATGAAGGTGGTAACAGGGGTGGGATCGGTGGTGGGATCGGCGGTGGGTTTGGCGGTGAGACGGTGGCGACGTCGGTGGCGGTAGCGGTAACGGTAGCGACGTTACGAAGCTCGAGCATTAAACTATTTCTCCTCTCGCAGGATTTGCATTTCTGTGCAACGGAATCCTTGTGCAGCGATATGGTAGACAGTAATCTGGATGCATCGAGAAGGCGTGATGCGCGCGGCAGGGCCGTAACGCGTGGAGCACGGACGCGGGCACGGACGGCGGGCACGGACACGGGCGCGGGCGCAGGCGTCGTGCCCAGGTACGTTCGTCAGTCGTCGGCCGTACTTGAAACGCGCGGCGTCGTGTTCTTCTCGTCACGGTGCAATTACGATCGTCCTCGCGCCAAAACGCCGACACACCTACATACCTACCCATTCTCCTTCGCGATCGGACGCTACCGTAGCTTCCGTACTAGCTTTCGATGTATCGATCATCTATCCGCGATTCGCGTGTCGGTTCCACCGCTCTTTCGAATCTTGTGGCATCCGGAGCGTTCTAACTGGTTTCACTCGAATCGTCTAATTTTCCCGTGTCCGTACCGCCTCTATCTGGCCACGGTTCTCGATCGTTCGCCACCGATTCGTATTTCCGTGCTAAATCTATCGTACGTATATCCTACTTATGAAGTTCCTGTGCGCCACATCAACGCGTAAACTTCGACGACGTGATTATGAACGGCTCGTGTGAAGCTTGGAATACTTTGGACATTCGTGTCTGTGCCACTTTCGTGTCTTTACTTCTTCCTTTTCTTTCTCCTTTCTTTTTCATTTCGATATTCCTCCGATAATTGGAAATTGCGAATAGAACGTTGTTATCCTCGTCGCAGAATAATCTATTCGAGACTATCGAATTTCATTTTCCCATACCGCTATACATGTACATAGGTACATATACGTATATATATATTTCTAAATGCATTTTTGTATTCATTTCAAACTCGATCGAGAACAATGTCTGCAGGTCGAAGGAATTTCATTCCCATTGCAATTTTATTGCTTTCACGATCCATTTGCCTCTTCCGA